ATATGCCAAATAGCCCATATTCTAAAATAAGAAAAGTTTGGTTGTCTTTTCTTCAATATAACATAAGAAGAAATCTTATTTTTTACTGAGAACATTATTCAAGACATAACAAACCGTCGATATAATTTCACCCACTAGTGAGATGCATCACCAGAATTCAACACAATAGTAACGACTAGTTCACTAAGAATTATATTCTTTATTTCTTCTTTTCCATTCATTTCATGAGAATATGATGTTATAGTTTCATGTACAATTTCATATTTAAAATATTCCTTATATAAAATAGAATCAAACACAGGGCCATTTCATTTCGAAACCTTTTAATCTTCTTACTAAATTAATTTTCAATTTCATTTACAAATGTCTTAAACATTCTCAAAAAATTAAAGAGTTGATATGATCTACTGCCCTCAGGATATTATTGTGACATGAATTATCAAACAAACAGGATTCTAGAAAGGCAACAACTTTTATAAACAAAATCAAATAACATATTGGATTAAGACTAGTACTATTTGTTAATAACAATTTACAAGAGAAAAAGAGCAATACAAACTTATCTTGTAACAAAACCATTTCCTAATAATAATAACCCTCTACTTCTCTAGTACATAAATCATATTTTTACCTGGCTTAGAAAGCATCCTCCAATAGTAGGTTGAGTAAATAATATCCGAAAACAACGAAAACTGCAAACCTATGTACAAAAGTATTGGGAAAAAAGAAAGCAATGCAATGGAACTAGGAACCCACTTTGAACCATGGTAGTATATAATGAAGAAGGCACTGCTAAATGCTACCATCATGCTTGTTATGGAAATGAATAATGCGATCAATCCAAATATTAGCTTTAAAGGCAGTGATTTATAAAAATCATACTCTCGATAACGCGAGACAAGAATAGACAGGAAGATCAATATCGCAGTTGAAGATGAGATGAGTGCCAATGCATCTGATAATGCAAACACCAAGAATGATGTTTTAGATAAATAGTTTGGTTTTCCTGTATCGTCATTTGTTCCGCCTGGTAAACTAAGTGCAGCAGTGAAAACTCCGGTAGCAATGACAGTTGAAATTAGCATACAAGACTCAGCAGTTTTTTTCATCCATGACTCCGCGTTTTCCCTTAGTTTTTCATGCTCATTTGAAAATAGTTCTTGTGCGGTTAAACCTTCGGAGTTTCTCAACTTTATTTGTGCTGGCAGCATTATCCGCTTTACTTTCTATCATACATGAAAACGTAGTAAAATAAATTTGAGTTTCATATATTTATGTTACATGGAAATTAAAAGCAACAACATAAAAGAATTGTACCTCAAACCATAATAACTCGAGGCACATTTGAAAAGCTGCTCCAGAAACCAATTCAAGTTGACTTGGTGGTGCTAATTTCGCAGCCAAGTGCAATAAAGTGTTTCCTTCTTCATCTTCGTATGTCACTATGACACCTTTTATATGCCCTATTTTATGTACAAGGTTGAAGATACTAGCATGGCGATATATTACAGAAATGTGTAATATAGTTCGCTTTTTGCTATCTACATCCCATATCAAGCTAGGATAACCACTAATAAGCTCAGATAAGAATCCAAAATTTCCAACTTTTGCAGCATCAAATATTAGTTGAGAAGGTTCATTTCTGATTTTTCTTAACTCTGGTTCTAAATAGTAGTATTTATCAAGAATCGTGGTCCAAAGAAATTTAACCAGTTGGAAAACCACCTGATTTTTCATGTCTGCGCGATAAGAAACTTTGTTACTTTACTGTTACATATAATTCATCAAACAAATGTAAAAAATTATTGATATAAAATGAAAAGGGAGGGTATACTTATTTACCAGGATTGATCATGATCGGATCATCATCATGTTCTGAACCATGACGACAAGAATCCAAAGGCATTTCATTTTGAGCCAAGAAATGCAAAGCTGTCTCATTATTCGCATCGCGTGCAAAAGCCAGTTCAGTCTTACATCTTACTATTTTTAAGGCCAAGTCTGAAATTAAAAAATGTTATGATCAATATTTTCACTATTGATTAGGTGGAAAACGCTCAATGGAATCGGAATAATTACCATAGATCCCGGTGTATATACAAGCAAAGAACAATAAATTCCAATCCTTCTCTTCGAAACAATGAATGGTTTTATCATATAGATGCCATGTCATTTTGTATCTTCCTTGCAAAGCAGCATACTGAATAGGAGTATAACCATTTCCACCTCTTATTGTTGGTAACTGATCGTTTTTCTCCAGCATTAAGTCAACAATTTCTATGTTTCCAGCTGTAGCAGCAAAAGTGAAAGCAGTGTTGCCGTTGATATCTTGCAATTTCAAGTCATTAGTATCATTCAGCATTTTCAATAGATGCTTCACAAATTCAATGTTGTTTGCACCTGCTGCAATATGCAGTAGTGTAGGCCACCCATATGTTATGGCAGCATTTTTCAACTTATTTTCAATGTTTATGATGCCCTCGGCTCCTGACCAGTTCCCTTCTAAAGCAAACTTGTGAATCGGAACACAAAGGTTGAGAAATTTTTTCTTTGCATCATCACCTAAAACAAAATAATACAGGAAATTAAAAGATCAAAATAATATCAACATAATGCATGTAAGTCTATAATTTATAGCAATGCTATTTATACACCATCATCATGTGAACAATGTCTGAACAATGAGTCATTGATTTTTAGTAGTAAAATAAAATTGGTCATTAATGTAAAAAGTTCATTTATTAAAAATAATTTTTAATAGTCAAACAAAGTTACTTAATGAAATGTAAAAAATTAGTTAACTAAACGCGTTTACATATTAAAAATAATTTTTAATAGTAAAACAAAATTGATTAATAAAATATAAAATATTATTTAATAAAGTTATGAATTTGATTAATCATATAATTTAAATGAATATCTTTTAATACAAAAATATTTTATTAACTATATTGATAAACAGTAAACTACTGTATAATATACAAATTTGATATAAAAATATCATTTTTCTTAATTTAAATTCTCAAGAAAACTAAGATTTAAAGTTTTTTTGTTACATAGAAAAGGCCAAAATATCTATGAAATATTTTTCTACAATTATTAGAGGAAAACAAGTTAATATTAATTAAAGTTGATGAGTATTGTAGTAGTTTCATTAATATCAGCAAGGGGCCCAATCCCTCTCAAGAAGCAACGTAGAACCGTCCATGGACATTCACAGCAACTCATGAGATATTTTTTCTTTCATTTTCTACTCAAAATTAAATTCAACTTATGAGATATTTTTTCTTTCATTTTCTACTCAAAATTAAATTCAACTTATGAGATTTTTTTTTCTTTCATTTTCTACTCAAAATTAAATTCAAAAGTATTGTAATACTTATGAATTTATTGATTTATTATAGTAATATGAACTAATAATAATATTTCTAAATTATTATATAATTAGCAATGATTGGATCCAATAAATAAAATTTAAGAGAGAAAGAATCATATACTTGTTTCTTCCAAGAACTCAAGGTTAGGAGTATTGAATAGTGCTGAGGGTGCAGTTTGTACTCGTGATAATACCGGTGTATTAGAATTGACATCAGGCGCTACCACTTCCCTATCAAAATATATATTTTGAAATTTTTAATTCAAGAGAATATTATAATAATAATGATTAAGTTTAAATATGTTTTGTCCCTATAATTTGATGTATTTTTATTTTTAATCGTGTATTTTTCTTTTTTTGAATAAATTTTTTAAATATTTAATTTTATTTAATTTTAGTCTTTAAAATTAAAATTTACAGAAAAATCTATAGATTTTCTACAAATTTTAACTAAACAAACTAAAATCAAAAAAAATTTTAAGATTTAAAAATTATTTCAAAACAAATAAAAAAAATACATGAACGAAAATAAAATACATTCCAACTGACTAGTACAAAAATGTTAGTCATAATATATATGAATGAAACACTTAACTTGTCAACTTCCTCCCACATTTCCTTTGCTGTATTGCAACTTGAAACTCTTTTACGATCATCTGGATTTAATGCACAACCTAAAATATGTTTAGCTCTTGCTTCTTGTTCCACCATCTTCATGTCATCATCATTGTACTCATCTTCAGACTTATCAAATTCTTCACCGTTTATTGTTTTTTTCGGTACTTTTGGTCCATTCTTGATCACAAGCCAAAGTTTGAAGTCAACAGATTTTATAAATATCATCATACTCTTCTTCCATTCAGTGCTATCATTACCATTGTAGTATGGTGGCTCTGAAATGGATCGTCTTTCAATGATGCTCGTGTCCGTATTCATTTTTAAATAAAAAAAATCTGTATCACCTACAATGATGTATGTTTCGTTTTAGTATAAATGGAATATTCTATACACACAATAGCAAAATCTGAGAGTCAAAAAACATTAAATAATTAGTCAAACAACAACTTCAAATTTTTTATTAACGAGTTTAGACGTAGATCTTTTGACTCGTGTTAGTCACTATTATAATCATTAGAGCATAAGATATATTTTCAAATAGTACGTTTTAAAAAAATATGTAATTTTTAAAAAATAAATAGATATTTTACAAAATTATTCAAACTAAAATATCAAAAAATTTCTAAAAAATTAATTTTATAAAGAACTAACGTAAGTTCATCTATTAAACTTTTTTTAACTGTGAATGAATTTGAATCTACAATTTAACTTGAAAGAGTATAAGAAAAACGTATTGGATATTAGTGACATAATACTCCAACGACCTCCTAGCTGTAAATTAGAGAAGGCAGAGAGAAAAAGTTTTATGGCAAAACAGAGGAAAAGGAAAAAAAAAATATTTTACAAATCAAACATTCATATAGAATTTCAAATTGTAAAAAGTTTTCTATGGTGTATATATTTTTTCAAATGAATCATGAAAATATAATATTATAGTATAACAACCACTACATGGGAAATGTAAAAGCACCATACCTTGAAATACACGTGACTTTAATTTGCTCCTTCACTTACCTACACAAATATATAACAAAAAAACATGTTCATTCAGCAGCCAACAGCATGTAGTTTTCGCATCTAAGAGAAACATTATAAAAAAGAAAATTAATAGATAAATTTAAAGAGAAATTACTCAGATATTTGAAGTAATAGAGGGGTTCTTGTTGTAATTTTGTGGCAAAACAAACGAAAGATAGAGAAGTATATTGAGATTCAAATGAAAACTGGAGAATGAAGGGGAAGTTTGAAGAAGGTGTTGTAGTGGTTGAAGTTATATGTACACCACATAGGAAAAAGGATAAACAAGAAAGATAAAAAGGTGATTGTGATGAATGAAGGAGGGAGGAAGGTATAGTGTGGAAAAATAGTATAGCATCTGGAAGGTATAAAATAATGAAAAGCCAGTCAACTGTAAAAAGAATTTCAATTAGTTAATAATAAAAACATAAGAAAAGAGGTATCTTTGTTAAGGATGAGATTATTCCTATACTACCGACCTAACACTCCAAGCTTGTTAGATTTATTTTTTAATGTACAAATAGTATTTTTATCATTGTCTTGGAGGGGATTTATTTTTATCATTTGTAGTTTCAAAGCTCGAATCTGTATCACTTAATTATAGTAAGAAAATGTCATGTCTTTTTTTGTGTCTGGTTGAGTGGGATGTTTCTCAGTCAGTCGGATTTATGGTTAATATTTATTTCAAGTTTTTGTTGTCTGATGAAAGAAGTATGTGTTGACCTCTGTGTGCTCAAGTCTAATTTTGAAGGTGAGATTTGGTGTGTCTTACGTGATTTCAACTCAATCTCCTCGCTTAATGAGATGAGAGGAAGCGATGCGTCTTTCATCCCCTGTTGTAATTCATAGTGTGTGGTTTTCGATTATTTTTCAGATAGATTTCTTGAATCTTCCCCCTCTAGAAGGTGGGTGATGATTTAATCGAAGGGGTAGATTATATTCGACAAGAGGATTTTAGTTATTTCTTTGAGTTGTTTAAAGAATTGAATTTTGATCGACCTAGATTAAATGCGGTTTCATTTCGGTCACTGTAATGCCCTATTTTAATTAATTATTTAATTAATTTTTTTTTAGAATATTTGTGAAGAAGTGTTATTAAATTGGATTTATCTTATTAAATAGAGAAATAATATATTTGAGGTACTATATTATTATGTGGTGAAATAATGTTAGAAGCTAATATTATTTAATGTGGGTCTATATGGTGTGAGTGGAAGTAATAAGGGGGTGTAGGTTTTGAGTCCAATAAGAAATAATATAATAATGTTAAGTTATTTTATTATTTGTTGTTAGAATAGAAGGAAGAATCAGTAAGAAGAGAAATAAGGATTGTGAAGAACGTGAAGTTGCTGGATTTTGAAGGAAACGGCAAGAACAAAGATTCAACTCGGAAATTGTAGAGCGACCTTCGATCCAAGGTAAGGGTGGGGTTCTGGCTTTATAATTAGGTTCATGATGTTTGATATGTGGGGTTAGAGGATTGCTGTTTTTGTTATTGAATTGAATGATGTATGATGAATATTGATGAATTCTTGATGGATAAATGATGTTATGATGCTGTGTAATCGATGTAGTATTGTAAGTTAATGTTAAGTGATGAATTATCATGGTTATGATAAAGTTTTTAGGGCTGTAGTATGATTCCCGTAGCAAAATACAGTAGAAAACGCAGAAAATTATGCAGAAAATCGCAGGATGCGTCGACCTCAAACCGGATGAGTCGATACATGATGAGTACAAGACTCAGGATGATTCGATGCATGGAGGGTTTGCGTCGATACATGTTCGATGTTAGACTCAGGATGAGTCGATGCATGCAAGGCTTGCGTCGACGCATGTTAGTTGCAAGGCTCAGGATGAGTCGACCGGTGCGATGCATGTGTCCATACATGCTGTATTGAAAACCAGAAGGAGTCGATCCATAAGAATGATGTGTCGACTCATAGTATACAGATGAAGCAGGATGTGTCGATCCATAGTGTTTCGTGTCGATACATAAGGTCTGATTTTTGACAGAATTGACTTTTAATTGCTGTAACTTGAGTTTTAGAATGTTGTTTGAGATGTCATTCGAAGCGTTGATTAGCTAACGCGATGAACTCTATTCTAGATTATTAAATGATGGATAAGAAGTGTAATCCCAGTAACAAATTTAGGATTTAGGATTAATTCCCGTAGATGATCGTTATGCTGGATTTTGGACAGAATGAGGAATTTTGAGATGTTAGAGGCTGCTGTTAGAATTATGACAGTAGGATTTAGTGACTGTAATGATGTATATTAGCATAATAACAGTAAGGCTTATTGTATTATTAATATACCACTGAGTTATTAGTAAGATGTGGTTATTAAAGTGGTTTTTGATAATTTATGATGAACAAATGATGTTTGATAAATAAGTAATGTTTAATAAATTATTCTGAGATGTTTAAGAGATGTTTTTTGAGATGACTGAGATGTTGTCGTTTTGAGATGATTGAGATGTTGTTGTTTTGAGATGTGTATCGAGATGTTGTTAACTGAGTGTGTTATTACATTCATGTTAAGTCGCATACATTGCATTTTTAAGATGGAGCTTATGCTCGTTGAGATGGCCTGGATTGGCAAATTTTGAGATGAAGGCTATGTCTTGTTGATGCCTCTATTAATTGACAGATTAGATTTTTGAGATGGGAGTTCTGCTCCAATGGTATCACATGCATTTGCATAGTTTTGAGTCGCATCATATGAATGAATAATGAGATGTATTTGATGTTGATGAATGAGTATATATGCTGTAATTGTTGTTGATTATGAGATGAGAAGTGGTGATATTATTGATCTAATTTAATATATTAATTATCATGCGCTTTATTATATTGTTAGATATCTCACCCCTTATGATTTAATGTTGCCCCTATGTTGGTAACATGTAGGTAATCGAGAGTGAAGACTGTATACCTTCAATAGATTGGGTCGGTGTCATTGCTCTGATATGTAACACTCGGGGGGATGAACGCTTGCTGATTTTTGATTGCTGATTTTTAGTTGTTGAACTTTAAATTGTTTATTTCCTAATATGAGATGTTTCAAAGTTGTTATTTTATTTAAAGATGTTATTGAAGAATTCCGCTGTGTAGTTGTTGAATTATTTTATTAAAGATGATATATTGATGGTTCATCCTATGTCTTATTAAAAGTGTTATATATCCATGTTGAATGCAATGTATTTGTTAGAAGAATTTGTGACGTCCTGATTCGTTTGTATGAATGAAATTTTATAACTCTGATTTATTTTGCATAATTTGCTTGGGGTAGAATTGGGGTGTTACAAAGTTGGTATCAGAGCAAAAGGTTGGTCCGACCTTGTCGTCGAGTCTTAGTTGTCTAACAATCGAGTATTGTTATTTTGAGATCTAACAGTTGTTTGTGTTGTAGTGATAAGTTGAGATGGCTGGAAGGAATGATGCTGCTCTTGTTGCTGCTCTAGAAGAAATGGCTCATGTGATGGAAAATCAGCCGAGTGCTCACGGGAATGCTGGATCTTGTAGCTTGGCGACTTTCTAGAGAGAGAATCCACCTACGTTCAAGGGAAAATACGATCCTGACGGAGCATTGGAATGGTTGAAATAGATTGAGAGGATCTTTCGCGTAATGGACTGCACTCCAGCGCAGAAGGTTCGTTATGGGACACATATGCTAGTAGTCGAGGCTGATGACTGGTGGCTAGAGACTTTCCAGAAGTTGGAAGCTGCAGGTGAGAATGTCACTTGGGCTGTGTTCCGTAGGGAGTTTTTGAGAAAGTATTTTCCTGAAGATGTCCGTGGTAAGAAGGAAATTGAGTTCCTTGAGCTGAAGCAAGGAAGTATGTCTGTTGTTGAGTATGCTGCCAAGTTTGCTGAGTTGGCCAAGTTTTATCCGCATTACGCTGAGGAAAATGATGAATTTTCGAAGTGTATTAAGTTTGAGAATGGGTTGCACTCGGATATTAAGAAGGAAGTTGGATACCAGAAGATCCGTGTCTTTGCTGATCTGGTTGATAGCTGTAGGATTTTTGAGGAAGACAATAATGCACATTACAAGATTATCAGTGAGAAGAAGGGTAAGCACCCGCAGAATCGTGGTAAACCTTATGACGCCCCAGCTGGTAAGGGTAAGCAGAGGGTTGCTCATGGTCAGAGGACTAGTGGGGGAGATGCTCCTGCTGGTGTGATTTGTTTTAAGTGTGGGAAACCTGGACACAAGAGTAATGTGTGCACTGCTGAAGTGAAGAGATGTCACCGTTGTGGTAAGAACGGACATATTGTATCTGAGTGCAAGCACAAGAATATGGTTTGCTTCAACTGTAAAGAAGAAGGCCACATTGGTAGTCAGTGTCCGAAGCCGAAGAAGGCTCAGTCTAGTGGTAAAGTGTTTGCTTTGGTGGAGGACCAGACAGCTTCCGAGGACAGACTTATTAGAGGTACATGTTTCATTAATAGTACTCCTTTAATTACTATTATTGATACTGGTGTTATGCATTGTTTTATTGCTGCTGATTGTGTTGAAAGATTGGATCTTGTGTTGTCTTCTTTGAGTGGAGAAATGGTCGTCGATACTACAGCCAAGGGATCGGTGACTACTTCTTTTGTGTGTGCTAAGTGTCCCTTATCGATCTTCGACAGAGACTTTGTTGTTGATTTGGTTTGTTTACCGTTAAGAGGGTTGGATGTGATCCTTGGTATGAACTGGTTAGAGCATAACTGTGTACATATTAATTGTTATGACAAGTCGGTGAAGTTTTCTACTCCTGAAGAAGAGGAAGATGGTCTGTTGTCTGCTAGACAGTTGAGAAAGTTGATGCAAGAGGAAGCACAAATGTTTTCGTTGATGGTGTTGCTATTTGTAAAAACTCAAGCTATAATTGAGGAATTGTCGGTGGTATGTGAATTTCCTGAAGTTTTCCCTGATGAGATTCCTGATGTACCGCCAGAGAGAGAAGTTGAATTTGCAATTGATCTTGTACCTGGTACCAGACCTGTGTCTATGGCACCATACAGGATGTCTGCGTCTGAGTTGTCAGAGTTGAAGAAGCAATTGGAAGAGTTACTTGAGAAGAGGTTTGTAAGACCAAGTGTATCGTCGTGGGGAGCTCAAGTGTTGTTAGTAAAGAAGAAAGATGGAAGTATGAGGCTTTGTGTTGATTATAGACAGTTGAACAAGGTGACGATTAAGAATAAGTATCCGCTTCCAAGAATAGATGACTTGATGGACCAATTGGTGGATGCCTGTGTGTTTAGTAAGATTGATTTGAGGTCGGGTTACCATCAGATTAAAGTGAAGGATGAAGATATTCAGAAGACGGCTTTCAGAATGCGTTATGGACATTACGAGTATTCGGTGATGCCTTTCGGTGTTACTAATGCGTCGGGAGTATTCATGGAATATATGAATCGTATCTTTCATACTTATTTGGATCGGTTTGTAGTGGTGTTCATTGATGATATTTTTATTTACTCTAAGTCAGAAGGAGAGCATGCTGAACATTTAAGAGTAGTATTGCAAGTTTTGAAAGAGAAGAAGTTGTATGCAAAGTTGTCCAAGTGTGAATTTTGGTTAAAAGAGTTTAGTTTTCTTGGTCATGTGATTTCAGGTAGTGGCATTGTTGTAGATCCATCAAAGGTTGATGCTGTGTTGCAATGGGAAACTCCAAAGTCAGCTACTGAGATTAGAAGCTTCTTGGGATTAGCTGGTTATTATAGAAGGTTTATCGAAGGGTTTTCGAAGTTGTCACTTATGTTTACTAAGTTGACTTATAAAGGTAGAGCTTTTGTTTGGGATGTTCAGTGCGAAGAAAGTTTTACGGAATTGA